TTCTATATTCTATATTTTATATTCTATATTCTATATTCTATATTCTATATTCTATTTTCTATATTCAATATTCTATATTCTATATTCTATTATCTATATTCTATATTATATATTATATATTCTATATTCTATATTCTATATTCTATATTCTATATTCTACATTTTTTATTCTATATTCTATATTCTATTCTATTCTTTATTCTATATTCTATATTCTAATAATTGTTCATGAACTATTTCAGTTTTTAGTGTACTCCAATTAGGTCTAAAATAATATAAATATCCAATATAAATATATATAGAAATCAATTCTCAATGACAGGTAAGCCTTTAACCTTCGACTTAACTTGGGCATTGCCCAGATGCAAAAGTCATCCTTGTCGCAGGGACTACATTTGTCTTTCTGTGTCGCCCGCTGTCTGTTTTTCACTTTTATATACTTTTTGAAAATAATGCAAAAATAAAAACATGGTAAATAGCTGTGTAAGTTATTTAGACGATTCGGCTGACGCTGTGGGGGCGTGCGGATGCCAGAATCATTTGCATTGGCACAACACAACAGCGGCACACAAAAAGAAATTCGTACAGTGAAATCCCGACTAATGAACGGCATGCCTAAAACATGCAAAAGTTTGCTAAGAAATTACTATGGAATTCGAACGGAGTAGGAAACACTCTCTTCATATTTGTGAATTTAAAAGGAAAACCGAAAAAATCTGCAGTATATGCATATACATATCTGATTTTTTTACATCGAACTATATTAATTTTCCCCATTTCTTTCACGTTTGCCTCTGAATATTTATCTTATGAATACATTATCTACTTCTTTTATCTTTATCGTACGTTTTAGCGAGCTCATACTGTATGGTAATCAGATAGCTCGGCAGCGGTACGACCTTCACACCAAACAAAACATGTAAAACTCTCCAGGTGCTGCCTCGGCGAGAGCTCTGAGCAGGAGGCAGGGCTGAGCTGCTGTTTGCCAACAAAGAGCATGTAAAATCATCAGGTAGATAAAAAGCCATAAAAATAGAACAACATGTAGCTGCAGCAGTAGATGTTTCTGCTGCTGTCACTGTTATAGCTGTTGTTGCTGTTGTTGTTGTTGTTGTTGTTGTTGTTGTTGATGCCACAGCATCAACACGGAAACAAATAAAAATCAACAGGATTAAATATGCAGGCGTGCCTGGCTATGCAATTCTCTCTCTTTCTCTTTCTGTCTCTCTCCCTCTCTCTTGCTTTCTCTCTCTCTCTGTATTTGAACAATCAACGTTCGTGCATATCTTCTCTCTTTCTCTCTCTTCATCGCTTTTATAGCTGGTTCGCTCTCTTGACGAGCTTTGCCCGGGGCTCGTTTAACAGCCTCGCCCGCCTCTAGCTCGGCCCTGGCTAAGTCTCCGTCTCCAGCTGCGTCTACGGCTACGGTTACGGCCATGGCTACACCACAGCTCTGGCCCTACACTGGCCAATCTGTAACATTTTGTCATGGATTTTTATGCAGTCTTTTCGTAGGTGGCGCCTCGTGTTTCGGTGTCCATGTCCTTCGCATGTTTTACCTTGAACGCAGCTCAGGCAAATTCAACAAGTTATATTGCGTCAACTTCAAAGCCTAACTATGAAAATACCCTGCACTTGTGGCTATGATGTGTAGAGAATATTTAATTGACAAATAAAATATATGATATATATTGATATATATTGATATGATATTCTCTTTCTCAAATGAAGTTTTATTCACGTTTTATAAGGTTTTCCATTTGTATTTGCAATAAATATGTTGTAATAACATTTACAATATTAATAGTAATATAATTATTTCATGATCATATCAAAATTAAATATATTCATATAAATTAATTTATTCAGTCAATATTCCATCAAAGAAATTATTATATATCAATTTAATTTCTACCAATGGATGTCATTTTAATTTTTCTATATATTTCTTTGCAGCTGACTCGAATTACTTCACTTCTATAGCTCGTTTCCTAGCAGTTCACAAAGCGTATCTTTATTATATTGCAGCTCGCTTCTCGCTTCCTTTAGTGGTCGATTACAGGGTATTTCATCCCCGCTCAAGTTTCTATATGGGCATGCGGGCTATGTGCCTTTACATTTAAAATTTATTTCTCACGTTTCGCTCGGCTTGGCAAAAAGACATTTGCGGAAATGGGCCACGTTTTGCCCGGTCGGGCGTCAAATGAGTTGGCACGGCCGCCATTTTATCAGCCCCTGGCCATTTGACAGGACCTCCGGGCCACCATTTGAGCGACGGAGTCGAGCAGACAAGTGGTGTGCGGCCCACAATGCTAGATATTAAATATTTAAACCGCCAACGGCCTTTCACAATTAGAGACGGCGCGCGAGACGGGCGCGCACCCAGAAGTTCTCGCAACTGCCTCTCGAGTCGTAGATGTGGCACTTGAATTGAAAGTCGAGGCAACACTTTGAGCACAAAATGAAAACGTTTCCTGCGCATAAATTCGATTTCAGCCACATGCCACATGCCACATACCACACGCTACACGCCGCATTTCGAGTGCTTGCAACTTGCATAATTCATTCGCTTTGTCAATCGAAGTTCGCACCAGCTCGCACACACACATACACGTCAAAGAGTGTAGCTGACATTCTCTGCGGTGGCTCGACATATTCAAGCATTTGGCACGTGTCTACGTCTATGCAGCCACGCCCCTTGTGCCCCTCGAGCGACATAACCGAATTAGAAGTTCGCTTGCGCTCAGCAGGGCGTATGCGTGATATGTTCTACACGATGCAGCACCCTAGCCATTGCTCGACGCAGTTGCATCAAACAAAATATTGTTGTTAGCTCGCAGCGAATGTGAAACATAAGAGGATATAACGGAGCGCACAGCATGTGAGTAAGCGCTTATAGTTTTCTAGGGAATTAGGTAAATATTGAGTTAGCTCAAAGAATGACAGAATATTTTTGCTCGCTGTTCGAGCTAAGTTGGGCTTGCCTTGCTTCCAATAATCTCTGAATTCGCAACGTAGAATTGTGCAATTTAGCTGCTCATGGTCTTAATTAAGCCCTCTCAGAACAATTGCCATCAGCAATGCTTTGCCCTTAAACCTGGCCGAGCCACAGGCACTCCAAGCATGTACAAACTCAAAAGCCACAGAAACTGTGTCCTTGTAACTCTCTCACACACACGCCCTCTTTCTCTCTCTCTCTCTCTCTCTCTCTCTCTCTCTCTCTCTCTGCCTATCTGCCTATCTCTCTCTCTCTCTCCGTCACTTCCTTCCCTTTATCTACCACACCCTCTGTTCTGTCCAGCTTATCAATAGACGCTTATATAAGCCATTGTAGAGCCTCGGCGCATTGTACGTGTTTGGTTCTATGCAGACAAAACATTTCGATGTGGGCCTTGTAATTAAAACTGCATTCAGCATGCTGTTAGATGTATGTACACTGAGAGAATGAGGGGACGGAAGGTGTGGAAATCGACTAAAACGTATGTCCCCATTGTAGAGGATAAAGCCTATTTTGCAAAAACTTTTGAATGGACTCGTGAGAGGCAAAAACTGCATGAATGACGAATTTTGGTTTAGTTAATGGTTCATAAATATTTTACAAGGATCTTAAAATACAATTTGTATATGTAAACTATGATTTTTGATACTTTATATATACGAAATTCCGTAGTAAAAAATTTCGGCAATCGCAATTCAGAAAGCAATGAGGAACTTACTTCAAAATAAATACATATTTCCAGTTTCTAAATATGCAGAAAATGTGTAGAGAATTTTCCGCTGTCACAAAATGTTTTCAATTTCATTATCTCTGCTTTGCAGCATAATTAAGATGCCTTTTCTCTGAGCTCAACTCCTTCTGAGAATGAATACAATTAAACTTAGCATAATTCAAGCTCTGACAATGTGAAACTGAAGTCCATAAGCATTCACCCACACTTCACAAATTTTGCAATTCGAAATGTTTTCCAGGAGCTGCGATTCAAGTCAGGTATTTGGATTGTTAGGGCGGCTGGGCTGGGCTGGGCACTGGGTTTGTGTGGCGACGTGTCACATTTCAGGGCTAGTTATGCGCTATTTAACACCGCGGCATCAAATTAAATTCGCAGCCAGCCACAGGATTCGCACGCGCGCGGTAACGGTTCGCATATCAATCATACGCACCGTTAACGCTGCGCCAAAACGCGCTTGAAGTCATTTCACACGCACTTTGCCACTGAGTCTTTGCTGGCGACAGAGCACAATTTAATGTAGATTTATAAAAACGGTTCACTTACAATTTCAATTTGGTGTCGACTCAGATTCCACCTCCTGCTTGCGAAGCTGCCTCCCCAAGAAAGTTCTGTAAATGCAAAGAAGAAACCAAATTGTATAAGCATAACGCAATTTGCTGTGCTATCACATTGATTGAGTGTTAAATGCAGTCAAAAGGTAAGCGCAGGTGTGATACTTGAATATTGGAGTGAAATAATACAAAAAGCTTTGAGTATATTGTTTCTCTAGCCACATAAATTTGTAGAATAATATTTGCTGTCATAATAGAGCTTGTTGAATGTAATTTTTAATATTTAAGCACTGATTAAGCACACTTCATTTGCCAATTCAGACTGAGCAAACAGGGCGTCAAAAATATTTATTTCTCTGAGTTTATTATTTTATTTCATTTTACATTTTTTGCGCAAGCTGTATTTATTTTTCATATTCAGTAAGCACGAACGAGCGCGGGCGTCTGTAAATAAACATAAATAATATAATAATGCGTAGCGGGCTGCACAATATAAAAGAAAATATGTGCCAGGCCATTGCATTTGGACAAAAGGCTCAACATAATTTGCATGACAGGATTTGCGGAGGACGTTGCCCAGAAGCGAAACAGCAACAGCCACGGCAACAGCGCCAACAAACGAGTGTCACAACAATGCCAGTTGCCATAAAATGAAAAATCTCCCAGTAAACTGCAAACAGCAGCCACAACAACAACAGCAAGAGCAAGAGCAATAACAAACAACAGGCTGCGACAATTTTCGTGATTTATTGCGAACTGCTCCTTGCTGTTGGGCAGGGCAGAGCACTCGCAGTCGCAGTCGCAGTCTGGCAGCTTTTGGGTCCGGTTCGCAACTTAGTTAAAAGGCGTATTTCCTGGCCAGAGACCCGATGCCGATGTCGATGCCGGTGCCGAGGCAGCAACAGACACCGAAAGTAATTTATGGGCCGAGCCCAGGCGCTGGCTCCCAACAATGCAGCCAACAATCTGATTAGGTTTTGTCTCTACTTCTGCCCAGGACAATGCTGTTAAGCTCTCTTTGTGTGTGTGGGCCAATTGAAAGGATCCTATGGCAACCAAAAGAGATGCGCAACACATGAATTTCTCGTCAGTGCATGCTATCGGGTATTGATGGCTGCATGTATCCTGCAGGCAAATCACATTTTCGAGCATTGACATTCGCATTAAACTGATTGAGGCATGTCGCAGTTGATAAAAGCTGATAGATAGTTGAAAGAAGATGCGTTCGGCAGATGTAGCAGTAGATACATATATACAAGCAATTTTGGTAATTTTTAATTAGCAGTAGATTAGCATCAATCGCAGTGCAAGTTGTTGTAGAATAAGTATTGAAACTCGTTTTAGTAGTAGTATAAGAAAGCATATTAAAGGCGTTATTACTGTCGATAGTAATCGTAATTAATGGAATTACTACTGATAGTAGTAATAGTAGTGAAGTTGTAAAAGTAGAGAAGATGTAGTAATAATAGTATTATATTTCCTATAAAGTAGTAGCAATAAGAGTGGTAGTACAAGTGCAAGTTTAGCTATAATTGCAGTTAATGTAAATTAGTGGTAGCAGGAGTAGTGAAAGTAGAGCTGTAATAATAGTAGTAGTAGTAGTAGTAAAAATATAGTAGTAATATAAATATAGTAAGTAAAAGTAGAACAGTAGTAGTAAAAGTAGAACTGTGGTAATAGTATAAGTTGCGAAGTAATGCAACTGTAGTAATAAAAGTTAGTGTAAAGGAAGTAGAAAGGAACGAAAAGTATAGTAGAAGTAGTAGTCATACTATAAATGCAGGATAAAGGAAAATAATGATACATTTTAGTAGCAGTAATTTACTACTAAAAACCATTAAATGGTACAGATAGTAGTTGCTGCACTGAGTGAGAAATAGTAGTGACTGTCGAAATATATAACTTAGAATGAGTAAAGTACAAACAATAATCTAAAAATAGTACTTGGCTTCTATTATATTACAGGAAATCGGCTACCTGTAGTTAAATACTTTTGTTTCTTTTTCGGAATTACAAATCCCTACTCATATAATAGATGCATACATAAGCGACATGCACTCGCGTTGACGGGGCACAGATATTTTTTGCCTTATGCAACACGGTGCTCCACATAAGCAACACGCCAGCAGCCGTGTGAAACCTGTTGTCTAGGCAACGAGTCCTGCATTTCCTTCTGCAGCCTCTCGCTCCCCTTCCCTTTGCCTCGCACTCTCTTTCGGTCTCTTTTGATAGTGCACACAGAACCCGTAATCTAATTCCATGAACTTGGCAGTTGTTGTTATTCAATGGTTTGCCGGCTTTACGGCTAACAAATTGCGCAACATTTGTAAGCTTTTAGCGCTGGGACATCGTCACATTGAGGCCGGAGTGGGGAGTGCGTAGGTCAAAAGCAATTCAGTTGCCAGCTTGTCCACTTCGAGAGTTTGGCACTTGGGCGAAAGTTTTATGTGTCGCTGCAACAGGATCAAAGTTATTGCATATCCCGGCAGCCCAGCCGGGGGACAAAAGCTAAAGCAAAAGCAATCAGCATGCAAATGCATTTGGGGACAGCCAATATATATTCCAATAGAATCTGTAGAGCCCGGGACGCCAGTTGATGGAGCAGCAAGCGAGAAATATCGAGCACAATAAGCCACTGAGACTGAGACCGGGCGACAGCGATTCCCAAACAGCGCAACAAAGTATGCAACGGTATTAAAATGCAAATACCCTGTAATAAACGCGAATCGATGAGGAAGGCATGGTACGCATATTCGATTACAGTTCAAAGTACAAAGAGGTTTGAGAAATGCAATTTTATTAAGCGGAGGCGGTAGACATTTTTCTCATATAAAGAACTCAGCGAAATACGCTGCTGCAAATACCTCGAACTAAGCCACTTCGAGCTCCCATAATCTCTCTCTAATTTCAATCAAAAACATAAACATAATATATCATGAGAAACATGTACAGGATATCTTTCGGTGGGCACTTCAGATTATCGCCTGTCGGTGTTCCTTTCAATTGCATTGTTCACTTTAGAGATCTAGGAATAGTTGCAACTGTGTGGCCAAGCCGCACTCAATGCAGAAGAACAAAAGATTTTTGCCGAGCTGCAAGGACAATTGGAGGCCTGCGACCATATTTCAAGGATACTAGCTAGACGCAACGACACGAGGACGAGGACGCGTACGAGGACGTGAACTGAGGCTGAACCAAGCTTAGAGGCTAAGGCCAGGGTTGAGCACCGGCTGCAGCTATGGCAAGGTTACTGCTGCTGACGGAAAAGCAATTCCGCCGGGATATGAACACGGAACGGAGAATGACTAACGGCAAACTTATTGAAATATGAGCGAAATAATATCAACAACAAAACCTGACACTACAATAATACTTAATAACAGTCATAATAACATGGCACGCACAGCTTGGCCAAAAAAAAAGAATGACAACTCAGATGGAGTATGCCGGGTCACGGCGCAACAGCGTGCAATGTGGCGTATACGCAACGAGCCAGAACATTTAATACTCACTCACGAAAGTTTAATGAGTATATTAGTTTCGTGCAATGTCAGTCCATCCATCCGTCTGTCTGTATGACGACGCTTTTAAAGCAAGGGAAATTTTCAAAATGAATGAGTGAATGAGTGTTATGCAGTCGGGAACGACCGACTGTAACATTTTTACTTGTTTGTGTCCAATTTGTGTACAAATTGAAAGCAAACAAGTGAGAGTGGCTTAGATTGAGATATGTTAAAGAGGAAATGCCCTATAAAATATGGCAACAGATAACATTTAATTATTGTGTCTTTATGGACCTCAAATCATGGGCGTTTACATCGGAATGGAAAATATGTTTAAAAAACAAGGAACAAATTTATGATTATAAAAAATTAGAGCAGTTAGCAAATCATTCATACTCATATCTTAATAGATAACAGTAAATATTATTCTTATTGGCATAAATTTACATGTTTATTCAGCCTCATATTAAAATATATTCAGGGTTTATTAATCATTTTATCGATAACTTATGTTATGAAACTGAAATTCGAGCTTAACTAGGCTAACTTTGTAGATCAAGCCTCACAGCAGTTGAACAAGTTGTACAATCTCTTACGGACACAACTGCTGACACCCCATCTGAATTCTTATAAAAAGTTTCAGCTAAAGCGTATAGAATAAGTCCCGTGATACAGCAGGTAAATAGGTAGGAGATAAAACTTTATGGAAACATGGCAGCACGTTTCGTTCACACTGCTGGCCAGCCCCTAGTTTGGCAGCCAATTATGGCCAGAAGTCGGGCCAAACGAAAGGTGTGCATATTCCCTAGCACACACAAACACACTTACACGCATACACAAACACACACACACACACACAATGAGCACCAGAATTAGATTCTATTGGCAGCTGTGAAGTGAATATTTGCCATTAGATTGTACAAACAGAATCGTTGAGAACTGTTTATCCACATACCCAACAAATTTGGGCTGTTTGCCCAACGCTTTGAATCGTGTGAATGTTGAGTAAATAAAAATCGTATTCGTTTATTATTCGTCAAGTTCCCATGGCATTCAACTACTTTACTGTAAAAGCAAATATTGCCTAATCGCCGTGGGACTGTACGAAAAAATGACAGCTAATTGGATATCTATTTAATTTAAAAGAAATGGAATTTACTTCTTGGAAAATTTATAGATTAAGAGCTCATTTTAATAGAGCGTTAAGTGTCATTAAAAAGGTATAAGACATGAAGTGGAAATGAGTATATAAAATTACATACTATGTAAGTATATTCGACGTTTTGAACTGAATTTGAAAAATTCTAGATAGTTTTTATATCTTAAATTTATTTAAAAACTGTAATTAAATTTTTATGACTTACTTCTTGTAAATATGTAGATTAGGAATTGTGTTAGTAGAATGCTAAACGTAATTAAAAATAATAATTGAAATGAAAGTTATCATAAAATAGTCGACGTTTATAATAATACTACTTGTAATTTGAAAAAGTCTACAACTAATAAGAATGAATCAATTACCAATTAATTTTAAATCTAAGTACAAAACTAACT